TAAGCTAACAGCTGAGACCAAGGAGGGACAAGGGAGCACTGCTGTTGCATGGAAGAACAATGCTAATAGTCACTGAATATTCCTAACAGAGTCATGACTTTGTGTTCAATACTTTCCACAGAATTAAGTCATTTAAGCCTTACAACACTTCTTAAGAAGTAAACACCATTTTCTTCCAAGCGAGTTTTTAGAGCTTAGATAACTCAGGCCCTGAGTTTTAAATAATTCAATCCAGAGTAATACAGGCTGGGCTCTTCCCATCAGAACAGTCTCCTGATGCCCAATCTTGCTCATGGTCTCACTGGGAGAAGACAGTAGCTCTAGCTCAGTTTAAGCCTCAAACTCCTGGGTCATCTCATGCGGTGCCCCCCTCCCCAGCTTGGGTAGTACACCTGGGGGCAGGGACAGGCTTGGTAAATCAGAGCCACGTCTACCTTTTTTGTTTGTTAGCTTATGTACCTAATAGTACAAGACTAGTTTGTTTTTATTGCATGCCCCTTTTATCATTTATATTATTCTGTGCTTGGTGAACTAGGAAGTATAATTCCTAAGCTTTAAATTACTAAAGTTACTTATTGAACTTGCCCTGAGAAGTTATAGCCAATAATAAATAAACAGATGAGAACACTGGTGTTCAACAAGTAAGAAATCTTTTCCCACCCCTTGCCTGCCTGCGTTTAGTTTTGTATCTCAAGAGAGTGTGCCCATTTCAGTGGAAGAAAAGAGTTCTCCAGGCCTGTTGCTCATGTTAAACCAATTATCCCTCTCACATTCTGTCCAGTAAGGGCCATCTCATCTCTGCCCACCTACCACACCAGCCAAGTCGTCCTCCACCACAAGGAGAGGGAGGCTGCATGTTTATTAGTTACCCATTTGCATTAATGTGCTGACTGGTGTTTAACCAACTACTGAGACTAGAAAATAACAATGACGAAACAGCGGACAGGAAAGACCTTTGAATCCACATAACATTATATGTGTTGGGTGATTACTGGGAAGAAGTTTTGAAGGAATGCCAAGTTTTAGTGCTAACTTTCATGTTTGTCGTCTTTTTAAAATGCTCAAAAATTTGTAACTTAAAATCCCAAGTCTTTTAAAAGAAATGGTTAGATCTGCATAAAATTAAACTTTAGAGATCACTAAGGGTGTATACAACTTTTCCTCCAAAATATGTGTAACTGGCACCTTAGTTCTCTATTAAGTAAGAGTCAGCATTACCAATGATCAGAAAGCAGTAATACAACATTTGGAACAAGCACCAACTACTTTGCTATACCTATGAATTATAGTTTTTCAAAGCTCATTGATAATGTGATTCTCCACAGCCAGAATCAAATTAACAAATGCCTACTACATGCCCAGAAATGGACAAAACAGATTGGTGCACTTGGGGGAACATCATGTTGGCGCCAGGCTCCCCTGGTTAGGAAGGCAGTTCGTTAATGCCTTCCTAGGGATCATGACAAACCATCAGGAAGCCATGATGAAAAAGCATACTTCCTTGAGGTCAGGGCTGTGGGCTACATGGCCACACACAAAGTGCTAAGTGACCCTCAAACTGCTACTTCTACAGGGGCAGGCGACAGCTTTCCACTGCTGAGCCTGCTTAGGCCACATGCCATGCCAGGGGCCCATCTTGGCAAAGACACAACTCAGATGCTGCTGCCTTTAATATGGCAGATTTATTTCTGTGTGGCCCTTGGCACCTCTCTGATTCCTACATAAAAAAGGTAAAGGCAGGCTGGTGGAAGTGGTTTAAGTGGTAAGAGTGCTTGCCTAGCAAGTGTGAGGCCCTGAGTTCAAACCCCAGCACTGCCAAAAAAAGGTAAAGGCATTCCACTACCCTTCATATAAAGCTGCCAATACACCCGTGCCCAGTTCATTGATGGCAAAGATAATTTCTTTTCTGAGACCTGGGTGAGGTTCTCAACCAAATGGATGGTCATCCTCCCCATCCTTTCTCCAAGTGAAGGGCCCAGAAGGTCCTCACCTGTTGCTCTCCTGCCTGAGCTTGCTCAGCTGAAGGCTCAGGTGCTGCTGGGGGTGCTGGGCCACCTGGGCAACCACCGAACCAGGTCTGCTCCCTCCAGGTGTCATGTGTGCTCCACTGCTGGGCAAGTCTGCTAGGGAATAGTCCCCTTCCACTTCATCCGTGTCCTTATCTACCCCTTCAGTCTCAGAGGCAGGCTCAAAGTGGGCTCGGAGCTCTGCAAAATCACAGACAATGAAATAGCATTGCAACAAGGCCTGGCATGGCTCATGTCCTGTGCCAGCAAATCTGCCAGCAAACTAGGCAGTTCAGAGGCTGGCCTGACCAGTGCCATGCTCCATCAGGGACTACTGACTATAAAAGGAAATTATTTCATTTGGTTCTCTGCAATATAATGATGATCATCCCCAGTTTACACATGAAGAAACTGAAAATTAAAGACAAAAGTCAGCCAAGAGTGGATTACAAAGGTACAACCTGCCTCTGCTTGGTGTCTGCCACAAGAAGCACTCAGGAGAGCACTCAGTAAAAAGAGAGGAAGGGGCAATGTCAGCAGATCGTTCGAAAGCCTCCCTTCACAGGAAGGAGGACCTTGTCACAGAAGCAGTTTTGTTATTAAGCCGCTAACGTTTCAAAAAGAAAATACAAAAGCCCAAGGTTGGGACTGGGAACAGAGCTCAGAGGTAGAGGGTGTGCTCAGCACACATAAGGCTCTGAGTTTGATCCCCAGTGCACACATACAGGTAAAAAGCCCAAGTTTTGTTTTTGGTTTTTATTTTGGTGGTACTTGGGTTTTGAAATCAGGGTAAGCATCATGCTTGCTAGACAGGTGCTATACCACTTGAGCCATGACCCTAGACCTTTTTTTTGGGGGGAGGGTATAGGGGCTCAAATTCAGGGCCTGCACCTTGAGCCACTCTACCAGCCCTTTTTGTGACGGGCTTTTTCTTTTTTTTTCTTGAGATAGGGTCTCGCAAACTATTTGCCAGGACTGGCTTCGAGCTGCAGTCCTCATCTCTGCCTCCTGACTCTGCCTCCTGAGTAGCTAGGATTACAGGCGTGAGCCACCAGCACCTGGCCCTTTTTTGCTTTGGTTATTTTTTCTGGTAGGTTATTGTGTTTTTGCCCTGGGGCCAGCCTCAGTCCAGGATCCTCCTACCTATGGGCTCCTGCATAGCTGGGATTACAGTGTACACCACTATGCGCAGTTTATTTGCTGAGATGGGATCTCATTAACTTTTTGCCCTGGCTGGCCTCAAACCATGATCTTCCCAATCTCTGCCCACTGAGTAGCTGTGATTACAGGCATGAGCCACTTGCCCAAGGTTCCTGTAGCTACCACAGGTTGATTCTGAGAGGAAACAGCCATTTAATGAGCAACTATCTGGTAAGCATTGGTGAGTGTGCACCCTGAAGTGGGTACCTGAGTATTGGAGGACCCCTACCCTTGAGCTCAGCACTCCCTTTTTAGATCGGAAGTTTAGTCTGGATGCAGCCTTCACTATCACGCCCAGGGGTACCATGAGATGTTCTTATCACAGACATTCAGCCCCAGACAATTGTTGAGTGCAGAGGATATTTCTGGCGTTTTCCACAGCCCTGAAGCTGACCTTGACCACAAGAGGACACTTACCTGGGATGAGAATGGTGACTGCAGCCTGCACTGCTCTGCGGATGAGGCTGTCCATTGCAAACATCCAGTGGGCCTAATTAAGTGACTCCTCAAAATCTTATTTACCTAAAAAGCACAAAGGTCCAGATTTCTATTGTTACATTCTTAAGAACTATGAGTTCTTCCCCATTCTAATTTGCTTCTGCTCTTTCCCCATTCTAATTTGCTTCTGCTCTGAGACTGCTAGCCATGCTGCCCTGGATTTCTGCCTGATGTATTTCTTCTGAACAAGTTTTCCTCTAGGCTGACTCAAAGTCTGGGCACAGCACTGGGATCAGCCTCACTGGGCCTCTTCGTTGTTTACTCAAGGATGAACTAGACATGACCTTGTGCCTGGAGGAACTCACATCTGTATGGACTCAAATGCACACCTACTGTGCTGGCAGATGCCACCTGTTCCCAAATCCTACACTGCTCATGCTCTTTTTGCCAAATGTAACTGGCCCATTCACCCAGGTGTGATTCCTATATACCTATATGCTCAGTGTTTAGAGAAGGAGCTACTGAAATTGAGGATTCAGGTGTAAACAGATGAGAAGAAATAGAGCTAGTGGAGAAGACAGTGAGTGAATTCTGATCTAGCATGTTCTCTCAGGCCAGATAGAGCACTTACAGCATCCTGGAATCCAAACAGGACCAAGTGAATCTGATTGATGGATGAGCTGTCAAAATCCAGGTCTACCTTTAGCTTTGATATTGTGGACGCCATCACTCTGGGCTCTGGAGAGCGGATGAAGTCCCTCAGGATCCCAATGATTTGTTTGATGTGGCCAACTGAGAGATGCAACTCTTCTGAACTCTGAAAACACACATGCACACATGCACGCACACATCATTTTCATCAAATGAGCCAGAGACGGACATAGAAAATGGAAAATGTATTATAAGAAACTACACTGTCCACTTGCTAATGGGATTGTGTCTCTGTTCCTGGAATTCCCTCCATGTTCTTCCTGTTACAGTCTTCTGGTCCCTTCTCCCTGATGGCCACACACCCTCAGCACTAAGACCCTCATCAGCCCTCATCAGAAGGCATGGTTCATAGTGGGGCAGTGGCCTCTCCAAAAAGGACCTTCCCCATCCAAAACAAGGAAAGGGGACCAATTTGCCACTACTATGTGCTAGTTAAAACTCAAATGTCCTTCATAACCATTCTCCCTGAAATGGCTGTGCTCCCAGCTTCTGAGGGCAGCTCTGGCCTGTCCTACAGCCCCAGGGCTCAAAGCTGAGAAAAGGTGAGAGGAGGCCAGAAGTCGGGTGGGAGTCCTTTAGTTTCCTGGGCTTTCTGTTGCCTTATGGCCTGTTTTCCACCAGGAGGCAGCACCACCCCATAAATGCTGGAAGCACTGCAGGGCTCTGCAAATTCACACATTGGCAGTTTTTCTGTCTTGTCTTTTGTTTTGTTGAGGAAGGGAAAGATGTTGCGAAATACTTAGTGTAATAACTGTAGCTGTGCAAATATTCCAGAGCACATGGAACCTGTGTTCCCTGTAGCCTGATGAAACATGGATGCAGGCAAAGGGGGTGGGATTAGTAGGCGTTAGGCCTATACCTGAGCCACACACTCCTGCAAGTTGGAAGCCACCTCGTTTCTGCTCTTCCAAAGGATTTTGTACAGGATGGCCCGGCGCTCACTGTCCTTGCGCAGCAGGAAGAGGCCTGGGTCCTGTCCTCTGGGGATGAGGCTGTGCTCCTATCTTCCAAGGCTGAATTCTCATCTGGAACGCTGCGGACAATACATGTGACAATCCCTGTGTGTGTCTGGGGACTGGGGAACCAAGATGCATCCCTTTCTTCCCTCTCTTGCCTCCCCCATGGCACCCATGTTGGGGGAGGGAAAGGAAAAGATGTGAGGAGGGGAAGGGAGAGAAGGGGGACAATCAGGGAGGGTGAGGGGATGAGATGGAAGGGGAATTTGGGGGGTAGGGAAGGGAGGAATAAGAGGGGTGATATGAGAGGAGAAAGGACAGAAAAGCAGAAGAGACAGTGAGTGAAGAAAATGTCCTTGGTCATCTCAGGTCACCCTGCTGCCCTGCAGAAAGGAAGCAAAAGCCCTTCCCAAGTCACCTGGCTGTGACCCAGCAGGATTCTGCACCCCTCACAGGACCACAGCAGGACAATGGACACAGGCGGTACCTGAGAAGGTGGCTGAGCTGGTGCCTGGATGACTGGGTCTTCTCAAAGAATGTGTCGGGTTGGGCATCAGAGTCTGGGGAGATGGAGCCATGCTCACTGCTGCTGCTACCCATAGGCTCCCCTGGCGAGGGCAAAGCCAGGGCACTGGTAGCACCCCGGACACCCTCTGTGGAAAGATAGCCAGACAGGGTGTGGGAGGCTCAGAGAGGGCCTAGGCACACACCCAGGGTCTTGAGAAGCCTGTGCTGCTCTAACCGGGTGGTGTAAATGGTCACCCACATAGGATCCTGGTGGAAATGTAGGCCGGGGATGGGCCCCGTGGGAAACACAGATATGGTGCTGCTCTGAGAAGCAAGTTGCAGAGTCACACTGCTGTGGCTTCTGACCCCATCCCTGCCATGGAGAGGATAAACAGCTTCCTTTTCAGAGGCTGCTCTTATCTCATTGCCAATTAGGACTTACTGCTCCAAAGGTGTCACTGGGCTTTGATGGCCTGCAGGATAATCACCACAGGCAAACCTCCCTAACATATCCTTTAATAAGGGCCAGGATCAGCCCAGAATGGCAGGCCAGGCTCCAAAAACAAAGTACCATGCTCTGCCCGTGGGGAGATGCAAAACCTCATCCAGGGGACCCCTCACCTTCTTCCTCTTCACATTCCCCCCAAAAAGGCCTTTAACAAAGTGGCAAGGTAGGGGAGAGAGTCATATCACCTGCAAGGTTCCCTGTGCCTGTTGGAAGATGGAGGGACATTTATTGGATGGACTTTGACCCTCCCCCAACCTACTTCACCAGTCCTGCCACTCTTCACATAAATGGGCCCAGTGTGTTAAGCTCAGCAATCTGGGGCTCTAGGGCTCTCTGGGAGCAACACAGAAGCCTAGGGCATCCCCCAGCTGAACAGGTAGGTCTCACCTGATGGCTTGAAAGCAATCCGGTTCTTCTTGCCTTTGTTCACCTGCCTTAAGAAACCCTCTTTGAGTAGGTCAGCAGCGGTGACCCGTTTGTGAGGATCAGGCTCAAAACAGGATAAGATGAAAGCTCTGGCCTCAGCTGAAAGGACTTCTGGAATCTCAGGGTGGATCTTAAACATCCCCACCTGCATTGGAGGAAGAGGTAACTGATATGTCAGTGGGCCATGGATGATGACAGATGCACATGTTTTCCATAGAGAGAGCTCCAACACCTGCCATTCCATAAGGGGCTGCAACATGACATTAACCTGTGTCTGCACCCCTTTGCAATGTGATGTTCCTGCACCTCCCATTCCACAGGCGGAGTCTATTTCCCCCTCTGGGAATCTTGGCTGGCCTTTTGTGACTTTGCTTTCAAAGCCCAGGCCTTAAGACGCCTTGTAGCTGCTGTTCTAGTCCTCTTGGAGCCCCGAGACCACCATGCAGTACTAAGGGAGTTGGGATGGATGACTGTGTGGCGACAGCAGCCCAGCCCTCCCTGCTGCACCCTCATACATGAAGGAGTGCCGGACGATCCTGGCCCAGCTAAGCCACCACCTGGATGCACCCAGAAGTGAGCCCAGGCAAGACCACTGAAGGGCCAAACTGTGAGGAATGGTAGTCATTGTTTTAAACCCGCAGAGGACTGCAGTGGTATGATACATGCAGGACAGAACTGAAAGGGAGTTGGGCCACAGCCTAGGGCAGGAGAGTCTTAAGCTGGATACAGAAAGACATCTGCTGCTTGGTCCCTGACACAAAGTCCCCAAAAGACCCCACATATTCCTCTCAATTTCTATGCATCCACAGGCCAGACCACCAGCCTCTAGCTCTAAATCACAAGTGGTCACAACTAGAGGCTGCTATCTCACGGACAAGAGTGTCATCACCCACAGCGACCTCTGGCTTCCTCCCCACAGAACACAGCAGCTGAAAGAAGGTGCTGCACTTTCCTGTTAGAACTTGCTAGAACGGCTACTTTGGCTCCTGCTTCTGGCCAGTTAAACCCTGTCCTGCTAAAGGCTCTCCATCCCTGTGACCCATAGGGGAGCAAGAGTCAGTTCCCAGATGTCATGTTTTACCAAGGCATGGGAATGTTTCTAGACAAATGTAACCCCTTCCTGCATAATTGTTCCCAACAAGGTGGGGGGAGTGGCTCACTAGTCTTTTTAGGTACTGTTATCTTAAAGATCATGTCCTTCTCTGTATCTTTTCCAAGACCATCCCACAATCCAGAGGTTGGAAAGCATTTTATCTTCCAGATCCACATTCATCACCAGCTGCTCAGCAATCCCAGGGCCTGGCTTGGCCTTGCATACCCCACTGTGTGAGATCTGGGGCTGCAAGGCCTCTCAACTTTACCCCTCCAAAGACCCTAGATAAAGTGGACACGTCTCATTCCCAAGCACTGATCATGACCAGGACGGAACACTAATGCTGGACAGAATCCAATCACCAGCATTTGAAATGCAGGGCACATTACAGGTGGTACCTGATGCCTCAGTGGTGGGGAAAGACATCAGCAGTGCCCAACAGCTCTAGGGTGCACAGAGACAAAAATCCAGGACACGAAATCTAAAGTGGAAAGCAGTGGTTTCCTCTCTGGCTCTTAGAAAGAAAAGAGCAGAAGTGGCACCCTGCAAGTACATCACTTTTAAGGGTGTTGTGTCGTTGCTCCTGTGTCAGTCAGCTATGGCTGATGTAACAAAATACCACAGAATGGGGGTCTTAAACAACAGAAATGTATTGTCTCATGGTTCTGGAGGCTGGAAGTCTGAGGTCAAAGTGTTGAGAGGGCCAGACTTCCTCTGATGTGTGTGAGGAATCCTCCCTTGCCTCTATGTTTCTGCTGGTTTCTGAGCCATCTCTGCTGTTCCCTGGCTCTCACCCCAACCCCTTGCCTTCATGTGGCATTCTCCTTGGGTATTTTCACATAGTCTTCTCTGTGCATGTCTACCTCTGTGTTTTGTTTAAGTGACTTTATTTCAGACAGGGTCTCACTAAATTGCCCAGGCTGGCCTTGAACTTGTGATCCTCCTGCTTTCAGCCTCTCAAGTAGTTAGGAGATACATATATATATATAGTGGGACTGGGGTTTGAACTCAGGGGTTTGTGCTTGCAAAAGCAGGCACTCTACTGCTTGAGCCACACCTCCACTCCTTTTTTGCTGTGGTTATTTTGGAGATGGGGTCTTGTGAACTATTTGCCTGAGCTGGCCTCGACCTGTGATTGTCCTGATCTCAACCTCCCAAGTAGTTAGGGTTATAAGCATGCACTACTGGCACCCAGCATGTAGCTGGGATCTCTATGTCCAGATATATCCCCTTTTTATAAGGACAGTTTTCATACTATATCACAGCCACTCCACTGACCCCATTTTAACTATATTTTCTCTGTAAAGACCTTATTTCCAAATATAAGGGGTAGGGCTTCCACATATTTTGGGTGACACAAACCCATAATAGTCCACCTTAGGTAAGAACAATTCCCTTTGTTTCAGACACCACTCAGAAGTTTCTTGAAATTTTTGTGAAGGATTCCAGGACCCCAGAAACAACATGGGGGGCATTATTTAATATTAACTTTTTTGTTGGCAATAAAAACTGACTTCATATGCCACCCAAGAAAGTTAATATATTTTCAGAGAATTTATTTGTACAGCTAATTAGCTAACCAAAAATAGGAGACAGAAAGAGGACAGGGGAATCGCTTATGCCCTATGAATGAATTAAGAAAGTCATAGCTTCATTTAGCTGGGTTTCCCGAATTTCACAGGAAGTCAACAGATCAGAAAGCAGCCAGCCATGGCTCTCAGGTGGACCCCATTCTTTTCTCTGCACCAGTTGCTATTTATTCCAGGGCCTGTGATGAAAGCTGTAGGTACAATCTTCAATGGCCCCAATTTGGTCCATCATGGATATGGACCACTGATGTGATAAGGAAGGTCATTGCTGTCTTCCAGTCTTTGCGTTAGGGGTCTGTTAGGATTTCAGGGGTTGGAAGACTTTTGTTGACTTGAGTTCTTGGCTTTCAAGCTACCCTGGCTGCTTATGTGAGAACCTTCTGCAGGGCACCTTTGTCTTCACGCTGAGAACAGCCAAAGCCCCAAGAGCACAGAGTTATCAGAGCCAACTGAACATGTTGCACTCATACTTCTGAGTTCTTTCTGTCCTACCCAACATCTAAACTACCTAAACAACCAAATACATCTTACTTTGAACATTGCTGCTTGTGGCTCGCCGAGTTCATGGAATGGAGGCCTACTGGTGGCCATCTCAATGATGGTACAGCCCAGGGACCAGATATCAGCTGGGGCACCATACCCTCGAGGTCCTTGATCTATAATCTCAGGTGCCATGTACTGCAGAGTGCCTATATAGAAAACAAATGAACAAAGATTGGGGTGCCATATTGCTTACAAACTAAGCAGAACATTAAGTATACAAGTATGTGGACTTAACTGCCTCATTAATGGTATATGGAGCCTTGCCCCATACATAAATAATATGGATGCATCATTTTTTGACCAGAGACATGCAACACTCTTTCCTTTAATACTGATCACATTGAGAGAGGGTCGCATAGCCCTTCAAAGGATAAAAAGGCCCAATTCTGTAAGTGCATTTTAGTACGTGCCGAATACAAGGAAACTGGAATGTGAGAAACAGCCTGGTCATGAGGAGCTGCAGAGTGGAGGAGACAGACACAATGGTGGCAGCAGTGATGATAAAATGTGGTCAGTGCTAAAACAGAGGCACACACAGAAGGCTACAGAATATAGATGGAAAAGTGATCAATTCTGCCTGTTCTAAATCAGGAAAATCTATGGCTGTGTCACCTTTGGTCTCTGAGAGGTAAATGCCAAGACAAAATTAGACATACAAGAGATTTATTGGGGAGGTCTATGAAAGACAAAGGTGAGGGGGGCAGGGAGAGTGTCAGACTGCAATGTAGGTCTAACTCTGGAAAGGGAGGTGGTGAAGAATGGGGTAGAAAGTGTCTCTGATGGCACTGTTCTGAGAGTTCCTGGCTAAAATGTACCTACTGGAAGAGTGCCACACTGGTTCTAGTACCCTTGCCAGGCTCAGTCATTGGCAGGGAGGAGCCTACAGAAAGCATGACCTGGCCACCAACATGATCTAAAGGGGTAGCAGATGGTGCTGTCAGTGAAGTAGGTTTCTGCTGTGATGGTCAAAGACAGATAAAGGGATAGGAGGACATCCAGGTGCAGGGAAGAGCTTGAACAAAGCACATGACTGTGAAGTATGGGGTCCATGGAACAAGTGATGTTTGTTGACCTGGGCCAGGTACAGAAAGAATTAAGGAGAGTGGCAAGGACACAGTCCAAAGGGTGAGCTGTGTGTTCTGAAGGCTCTGGCTTTGGACTTTGTCCTGTCGGTCACGGGCCAGTAGAGGCTGCCACAGGGAAGGAGGTGAGAGATAAGGCAGCAGAAAGCCAAAGGGATTATTAAAAGGGAAAGACACGGTGTCAGGGGGGTCAATCAAGGTTTCTGGGAATAAAACCTTTGGCCTTCCTTGAAAGGAGGAAAAGAGAAATGGCAAAGAGGTTTCGAATAAAACAGTAAACTCACAAAAGACCTTCATCATGAATACAACACTGATGTCCAGAAAAATGAAAGGGCACTTCTCAGGATCACACAACCAAAGCAGGTTTCCTGAGTTTTAATCAATAAAAACAAAGGACTCATCAGTTTAAAAAGAAGTTGAGAGAAGCTACCACTACATCTTTCTCTTGAGGAACGAATGTCTTATTAGCATTTTTCTTTCCTATGAACATTTGAAAGACTCTGGGACAGCTGTGACAAATAGAATGTTCTGTAAAGATGGAAATGTATTCTGTAGAGTTCAATATAGTAGTAGCCATTAACCACATATGACTACAGAGCTGTTGAAATGTGGCTACTGAGACCAAGGAAAGGAAATTTAAATTATTTTAATTTTATTTCATTTTAACTGATATAAAGTTAAATGTGAATCAGGCTGTTTTAACACAACAGATCAGAGGGACACAAATGATTGCTTTGGTTTTCAAGCTTAAACCTATTGAGGAAGTGTTCAGTCAGTTGCAAAGTTGGGCAAGATGGAGGTGTGTAGTACTTGCACTTGATGCACTGTGAGGAAATCCCAAAGCCCCCGGAAGGGAACTTCCGGTGATACAATATCCTCTACAGGTTGTTGCTGCTGTGAATAACAGGAGAAGTGTTGGCAGGGAATGTGCCTTCTAACAAATTAATTAATTTAGGAAAGATTTGACACTGCTGTTAATCTAACATCTTCCAGCTGTCTGGAATGTTGGGTCTGAGACTCTAGAAACCCCATTTCTGCTTTGCCTGCAGTTCCAGTAGGCTCTGCAACTAGGTGGTGCTAGAGACACCCTGGAAGACATAGGGGTTCTTGCTCCTCCCTATTTGCTCCTAGTTCTTGTCAGCAAGCTACACTCTGGACCCTCAGTTGGCTCCAGTCTCCAGCCTTTTGACATTCTACACTCCCAGAACCAGCTTTATCTTGCCCCTCACAGGTACTTGCTCCAGCCTGGTGACAATCCCTCCTCTAATGTTACCCTCCCGTCTGCACCTCTCCCCCAAACTCTAGGGGTATAGGCTACTTCCTGAAACCTCAGCACCTCCTCTCTGTCTTTTCAGGTTCAGTACTCAGAAATAAAAAGTTCTTTCTATTAAATTCTTTCTGTAAAAATGACTGCAGTAGTTTCTGCTTTTTCCTGCCTGGATCCTCACTATTACAATTACTAAAAGTTCCCAAAAGAGCAAAAGAATACATTTACAACATTATCTAGTAGTAGAAAATAGTACTAAGCCAAACAGCAATGGCTACTTGACCCTGGTCAAATAACTGTCACCTTAGTATAACTATTTCATAATTGGGACCTATTTATTTAGTCTTTTTTTTTTTTTTTTTTTTTTGGTGATACTAGAGTTTGAACTCAGGCCTAGAGTTTGCTAGGCAGGCACTCTACCACTTGAGACACTCCACTAGCCCTGTTGTTTTATTTTTTTACGTTGGGTATTTTCAAGATTGGGTCTCACAAACTATTTGCCAAGGCTGGCTTTGAACCTTGATCCTCCTGATCGCTGCATCCTGAGTAGCTAGGATTATAGGCATGAGCCACCAGCACCCAGCTTATTTAGTCTTCTTAATGCTAAATTTGAAGATTTTCTTTATATGGGGCCATAGTGAACATTGCTCTAAAAGTGAGTATCTAGCAATGATATCCATATTATTTATTGCTGTATAATAAAGTATTCCCAAATTTAGCAGCAAACAACATATTGGGGCTGAGGATGTAACTCAGTGGTAGAGGACTTGCCTAGCATGTCCTGGAGCCTGGGTTCCATCCCCAGTATTGCGAAAAAAAAATCATTTCAATTTCACATAGTGTCTAAGGTTGGAAATCCAGGAGAAGCTGGCTGGACAGGTCTGGCTCAGAGCCTCCTATGAGGCTGCAGTCAAGATGTAAGCTGGGGCTGCATCAACTGAAGGCTAGACTGAGGCTGCTGGATCAGCTTTCAAGTTCATCTTGTATGGTTGGGGTTAGTAGGAGGCTTCAATTTCTTGCCAAGTGGAATCCTCCATAAGGCTGCCAAGACATGGCTTCCCTCAGAGAAAGTGACCCGAGAGAGAAAGAGAGATGCCACTCTGCCTTTTAGGACCTGGTCTTAGGCCACACACTGTCACTTCCATGAATTAAATTCACTAGAAATGAGTCACTGAATTCAATCCACATTCAACAGGTGGGGTTTAGACAAAGGTAAGAATATCAGGAGGTAGGGAGTATCCTGGAGGCTAGTCCCTATGACTTTGGTCAGCACTTGATGGCTTATAAAGTATCTCCATGTATTGTCCATCTGACTTTCACAACTCTGTAAAGTTGGGCACAGGAGGCACTATCTACTGATATTCTCATTTTATGCATGAGGAAACTGATGTTTAGACAAACTGAAGGATTACTGAAGCTAGAACACAGGTCTCTTGCCTCCAAGCTCAGAACTACACACTATGACATCACTCATTTATGTAATAGATCAAGAAGTACTGCTGAAGATATGGCAGGAAGGCAGGGAGAGGGAAGGGAGACAATGAGAGACCATGAGGGAGATAATGAGTGAAACAGTGAAAAACAAAAAACAGATTTGAGGAATGTCACATAGCACCAGAGGTAAGATCACAGAAGGGTCACCTGCCCCAGAGGTTAAAATGGCCAATGAAATAGTATGTGACCATGTATGGGACAAGCTGTACCCCCCATTTCTGTAACCTGCTCTAAATGGTATATAAGGAAAGCCCCCTTTGTTCTTGGGGGCTCAGCCTCTGGATGTGAATTTGCTGAGTTGCTGAAAACTTGCTTCCCAAAAGCTTTGGTGCCCTATCTATCTGAGCCTTCCTACATTTCTGGGGACTCAGTCTGGGATTTGGAGGATGATGTTTTCGTCTCCTTGTTGCCGGCTCAGTGTCCTTAGCCCACCAGGAGGGCCGCCCCTGCCAGGCACCACCAGATCCAAGGGGAGGGAGCCTCTCTCCTGGCAAACTGAGGAGGTGAGTTTCAATCACACAAAGGAACCTGGAAAAGCTCAGGAACCAACTCGGGAGCCCTGCTCATCATAGTGGTAAGAAGCTGGGTTCGAATTTAGGCCTGCCTTAGGAGGTAGAAGGGGAGTCTGATAACTCCCAGCAGAGACACCTGAGTAACAACCTCATAGGAGGCTCTAAGCCAGACCTGCCCAGCCAGCTTCTCCTGAATTTCCAACCTTAGACACTATGTGAAATTGAAATGATTTTTTTTTGCAAAGCTGGGGATGGAACCCAGGCTCAGGACATGATAGGCAAGCCCTCTACCACTGAGTTACATCCTCAGCCCCAATATGTTGTCCCCATGACTTTGGGCTGGCCACTTTTGAGGATTATGAGGAGGACTAGGATGGACCGGGCTCCATTCTACTGGGCCCCCAGGAGCCTATGGTCCAAATGAAGATGGGAGGGCATCCCATTGACCTACTGGTGGACACTGGCAAGACCCATCCAGTTGTAACCCAACCCGTGGGCCCTCTCTCACAGACACATGCAACCATTGTTGGGGCCACGAGAGATGAAACTCGCTGCCCCTTCCTCATATCCAGAAAATGCAATCTTGGAAAGCATGAGTTCCTCTACCTTCCTGATTGCCCTGTGGCCTTGATGGGCAGAGTCTTGTTGTGCAAACTAAGGGCACAGATAACTTTTGACTGATGGCATGACAGCCTTAAAGCTGAGAGGGCCTGAAGCCAAGATTCTAACTCTCACAGTTGTATAGGAGGAAGAATGGCAACTCTGTGCCTCTAAGAAAGAGATTCCTGAGA